TAGGACACTGTGCAGCAAGGCATTTAACACCACACCTTGTGTGGGAATTCTTAGTGAGCACTTGCTAACATGATGAGAACCTTATGGATGGTGGTAAAAGGACCTGGGATATTTGCTGACGGACCTGTGCTGGCATGTGGGGACAAAGGGCATGCAGTGCTCCACATTTGCTTTGCTGAACATGTTTCTGTCAATGACTTGAAGGCAGGAAAACCACGTTCACAAAATGAACAGATGGCAGAAAGCAGAGGAGGTGAGCAGCAGGGTGAGTCAGGAATCAAAACTTCCTTGATACTGGACAAGATACATTTACCATGGAGAAGCGCAAAGTTCATTACATCTGAAAAGCAAAGATACACAATTGCACAAGGAGGGTTATAGGCTTGGGGGTCTCGGACTGCAGGCTTGATACGAGCCAACTTGGCAGTATACCTGTCCCTCAATGAATGCAAATGCACACTCTGTAAGTATAGATGACCAAATGTAGGAGAAAGCCCACCAGTGGTTCCTGGTTCTTGTGGAGAATTTATGCTGGTGGTTCTAGACATGCAACTGTAGGGTGGAAGATGGGACCAGATGCAGCTGGGACATGCTGCATCTTCCTCACTCCGAAGAGCAGTGAGTCAGATAGGTTGGTTCTCATTTTTACCAGAACACGTGGCCAGGTCAAAGGTAGGGAGATACCACCACTGAGTTTCCTGGTAGAGAAGAGAGCTCTTTAGTAACAATGGTCCCAAAAGCTGAAATACATGCATATTACACTGCATGTCTGTTTCCCTCTTTATTTACCTGGGTTTTAATTTTTCATTTTCAGCTTTTCTTTTTTTCAAAGTGTTTCTTTCAATGTCTCTTGTATAGTTTTCTCTCTTGCTCTTATTTGGTTCTTTTAACATGAGCCAATTTTTTTGGTGTGCTGTTGTTTAGGATTGGATACCAAAATAGTATCATATTTCCATTCTTAATTTTATGAGTAGATAATCAAACTATTGTATAATTACCTTTTTAAAACTTGCAAATACTTCCAAAGATATATTCTTTAATTTCTGAGATAACTAGGTACTGTAACTAGCACAGTGGCTTCCAAGCACAGTACTCATTGTCTTCTAGTCTGAAAGATAATCCAGATGGAGACAGGATCTCCAAGCTTGTGGGATCCAGAGTCACCTGCTGTCCCACTTTTGGATTTCCCATTCAACGTGGAGACTAGATTTGTCTTTAGCCAGAGCTGGGGACAGAATCAAAGTGAACAGGAATCAAGTCAAAGAGATAGAAAGAAGAGTGGGAAGGGGCAGGCGTGCAGGGCTCCCCCCAGGTGGAGGTGAAAGACAACACAGTCTGGGAAGCCACAGGAATCCAGGAGGCAGCTAGCATTTGGAGGCAGTCCCTGGTGAGCTAGCCACAGCTTCCAGTCTGGTGGAGGAATGACCTGGGGGAAGCGCTCCACAAGGGGAGGGGCAGTGGCAGGAGCAGGGCTGGACCAAAGGAAGAACCAGAGGCAGGAAGAACAGGACCTGGCGGGAGAGGAAGAGCAGGTGGTGGGACCTTCCACAGAGAGAAAATGAGGCAACCTGGTGACTATCTTGGCAAAAGAAGATGGTCAAAGCAGCCAATGCACAGTGAGAAACGATGCTATGGTCTCCATCCAAGACACTCAAGGAACAGAGAATCTGCCAGAAATGCACAGGGTATCCTGCAGGTAGGCAGCCAGAGACCAGAACAAGAGTAGGTGGGACTGTTGCCACACCAGCAACTTGAAAACGGATCTCCCAGAAATGCTGCGGCACAAAAACATGCAAAGACTGGTTGTTTCCTGTGTTGACCTAGAGCCTATTACAAAATCACCATTAACAAGAAATCACCATAGCTGGCAGTCCCACTCCCATCATGCACCTGAGCCATGACATTTCCGAGACTTAGCGAAGGGCCAGAGCATGGACAGTCACCCAATTCCTGGCAATCCCTGCCCTTGCCTGAAAAAACGACCCACAGTATCACCCTCTCTGTCTCCAGATAAAGAGAAGCAGCTCACGCTGAAGCATGCTGCACTACCCTTGAGCGCAGACTTTTGCCTTCTAGCAGGCCTTATTTCTCTGCCAATCTTGAGCTACATCTTGTCCTCAAATTCTTTCATGCATCAGAGATCACAGAAGCTTGGGGCCCCTCACACAGGGACATGGAATCAGGGGAAAGCCAACCCCATTCCACACTTCTCAGCTTTAGGGCAGAACACACTCAGTGATATCAAAGCAAAAAAAAAAAAAAATCAGGTCTTAAGAGAGACAGATGGGGGACTAGTGCGGTGGCATAGCAAGCTAATCCCCTGCACTGTGGTGTTGGCCTGCCAGTTTGTATCCTGGCGGTTCTACTTCCAATCTAGCTTTCTGCTTGTGGCCTGGGAAAGCAGAGGAGGATGACCCAAGTGCTTGGGTCTCTGTCTCAGACAACTCAATCGCTTGTCATATTCCATTCAGAGTTCCTGGTGGGGTTGCATCTTGAGAAAAAGTAATTGGCTGTTGCTGCAGGTAGGTAGGGTCCTTGGAGGGTGGCATTGATCAAGTTCCAGGTGCTTTCTAACTCTCAACATTGAAGTCAACCTGAGAATGTGTTTCCTGTGCCTAACCTGTCCTCTGCTTAGATGCAGGCAGACCAAGAGTTCCAGCACACAGAGAGTGTTATGGACTGAGGCCCTCGTGTGGCTGCTGCTTCAGGGTCATCTGGGGCCTTGAGAGATACACTGGATTCCAAGCTACATAAGACATGGTGCCATGACTCGGAATCCACTGGTCAACATGCTAGAAGACAAAGCCCAAAGTCAGACAGGCAGTGGGAGCCCAGGAGCAAACCCTCACCTTGGAGTTGCATTCTAGGATTTCCTCAGGGAGTGCATGTTCTCAGAAGATCAGACTTTGAACTTTACTATTGACCATATAAGATCTCATCATCCAAGCCCACAGTCAGGCACACAAGAGGCATTTAATGCATACTTACTGAATGTTTGCCCCAGAGCAGCTAATTATTCACGACACAGTTGGAAGTCTCCTAACCCACTCCCCCACCTCCCTTCTCTCTCCTGTCTCATCCTCCTCCCTGCCCTTCCCCCTCCCTGTCAGGCTCCTTTTTAAGGACTGGGGCTTGTTTTATCACATCTGTAATTCCCCCAGGTTAGCCTCTGAAGCAGGGGTAGGGAGTCATACTTGTGACATCATTGCAGGCCATACAAAATTATCAACTTACAAATCTGCCTGCTACACACTGATTGTATTTCATTCACTTGCGCATGCCTTGACAGGACCAACTCAAATGATTTCCAGGGCCTTATATAGGCCAGTGGCCAGACATTCCCTACTGCTGCTCTAAAGCAAAGGCAGATTTTCAATTGATGCTGACCTCCAAACACAGGGCAAATTCTGCACCTATGAAGCTCCCCTGCCAGGCAGGTTGAGAGCCCCAAGCAGCTCTGGCTGTCAGGAGATCTCCTGTGAGGCCTTAGAAAAGGAGCACCAGTTCCTGTGATTGGCTCCCAAGGGCACAGGCAGGGACACCATGACAAGGAGAACACCCTCACCACAGTGGATACAGATCTTACCATGGTTGCCATACTGAGTTGAAACTGAGTGGCTTTGCTGTGTCCCCAGCAATGTACGCTGACCAAGTTCATTTCACTCTATTTGCAACAACCTCGTAAGGCTTTCAGGGGACCTGAATTACTCACTCACTCATAGACACACAGAATCATCGCTCACTCATGAAATCAACAGTGTTTATTTGCCCCCAAACTTTGGTACTAGAGGTATCTGAGATCCCTTTCCCTCCAATGGGATAGGCGGGGAAGTTAATCAAATTCCAAGTTCTTCTTTGGAGCCTACAGATCACCCCGGGGAGTTAGGGAAGTGGATGAAGACAGCCAGAATGGCTGTGAAGGGGCACAGATGTGCCATGGGGGGCTCTGCATCCTCTAAGCCCAGAAGCTGCATCCTGCAGTACAGGCAGTATGGCACTGTGCCTCTTCTGTTCCACACGTCACTTTAGAAAACTTCTCTCTTTGTGTCCCTGTTTTCTGGCAATGATACCTGGCCAGACAGTAGTAGGCCCTTGATAATGATTATTGAAATAATAACAAACATTAGGTAAGGTTAAAAACACGCTACAGATGGGACTGGAGTGGTGGTTCAGTGGGTAAAGTTGCTCCCTGCAGTGCTGGCATCCCATATGGGCGCTGGTTCAAGTTCTAGCTGCTGCACTTACAACCCAACTCCCTGTTGTTGTGCCTGGAAAAGCAGCAGAAGATGGCCCAAGTGCTTGGATCCAGCATGCATGTGGGAGATTTGGAAGAAGCTCTGTGCCCCTGGTTTGGCCTGGTCCAGCCCAGCTATTGTGGCCATTTGGACAGCAAATCAGTGGTGGAAGATTTTGCCTTCTCTCTCTCCCTCCCTTACAGTTATCTCTGTTAACTCTGCCTTTCAAATATAAATAAATAAGCAAATAAGTACATACATACATAAATCTTTTTCAAAAAAGAACACACTGCATGCAGTAACTATTGCTCTTCCTTTTGTACATACAATATGCTGACACTGTGCAATGGCTTCCCCTAGTCTCTGCAGCGGTCATAGTTCTAGCACTGCATGAGTGAATTACAAAGATGAGGCTCAAAGAGGACAAGGAATATGCCTTAACTCCCACATCAGCAGCAGAAGCCAGTAGAACCAGTAGTCATGGGGCTGGCACATCCCCACACCCGTGTTTTCAGGACCACCCTGCTGGCTCAGTGGAGGAACCTGAGGCTGTGTTGCTTGGGTTGGGCTCTACAGAGCATGACATTTGCGCTGATGTCTAAAGAAGGGTGCATGTATGGGACAGACAGGTGGCATGGAGTCAAAGGGCTCTCCAGACCCTGGGACTGGAGCAGTGAAATAGCGAGACACCACACACGCGCCTCACCCCTCCTGCAGCCCACCCCTGCTGGTCTGCCTAGGGTTGCCCCAGGGGCTGATACGTACAGGTCAGCACTGCCGGGGAGCGGTTCTTGGGCACATTTTCCTCCCTCTGGGCCACGAGCGAGCTGTTGGGCTCTGCCTGGTAGGCGCAGAGCGCTTCCCACTCCTTCTCCAGGCGGTTCTTGTTCTTCAAGTGGTCCTCCATGTAAGCCTGAGAAGGAAAAGGCAGAGTCAGGAGGTGTCTGTGAGGCTGGGGACTGCTTCATGCCAGACCCCATAAGAGATGCATGGCTATTCACACATGAGGGAACTCCAAAAGCTGGTAGGAAAACAAGATTCAGAGATGTTTCCTTGTTTTTTTAATCCATGCCTTGTTGGTTCATAATTTGCATTTTTCTCTGAACTTTCTGTGGACTCCTCATACTTTGTGTTTGGATTCTGAGCCTATTGAGAGTGCCAAACTCGGGTGCCAAGAACACTTAGAATTACAAAGCTACTATGGGCTGCTGGGGAAGAAAGACAAGCCCACAACAGACCCCATTTGATTGACCAACCAAAAACATTAGAAAGTGCATCCAGCCAGAGAGCAGGTGAAGACAGAAGCAGTAACGGATGGGGTGTTGAAGGGCACCTGTGCACCATACGTTGAAGGAAGAGGAGCAGGTGCCATGCATATTTGGATGGGGGCTGACCCTAATGGACCTAGACCTTATGAACCATGAACTGGGTCTGCAGGTTGTGCAAACATTTCTGAGGGTGGCCCTCTCTGCATCAAAGAAGAAATAAATTCAAGTTAACACAGGGCTGCACAGTGTGGAAGTGCACTATTGATGGGTTAGAAAAACAGGCCTAACAAAAAGCTCTTAGTGAACCTCAATCAAGGATTTGCACGAATTCTTTGATTTCCTTTTTTTTTCTCCAAGCAACCACTGGTTACTAACAGATACAAGTTATTTAGTTACAGTTCCTTAAAAATATTTACTTGAAAAATAGAAAATGCACAGTTTGAAAAGTGTTTTGTAGATCCACTCAAAGTTAGGCCAAAAGGTTAATAGAGAGTCTCTTGAAGAGACATGGAAAGGACTACCTTCCTGAGGGCCCCCCCACAAAAGGAGCCAAGTATTCAGCTGGGCATTGTAGACTGAGAGGTGGGGGTTTCTGATGTCTTGGGGGTCCGAGGGTGGGCGTGTCAGCCTGCTCAAAGGGGACACCAGTTACTCAATTAGGAACATACAACAATATATACACTGCTGTATGAAACACATGTGTCTTTATTGTGTACACAGCAGACATGAAAACACAGGGTTTAATAGGTGTTTGGGGACCTGCTGAGCATTGGGTTGGTAACGGTCATCCTTTATTTTAAATTCTAGAGCTGGGGAGCTCAGACCAGTCCGTCAGGAGGAACTGTCCAGCTTTCCCAGGTCCCTCTGCATGGTCACTTCTCATCTAATTATCCAACTTCGCAGATTTTACTGGGTGTGACGCATTTAAGACACCAGGTGGCTGTGATCTGTGCAAACTGTTAAAATAGCTCCTAGCGTCAGACCAACACAAAACCCGCTGTAGCAAAGATTCCAACCCCGCTGCTTTGATCTTCCTCTTTCTCAGTCTTGAAGCAGGCATTGCTAGAAGACAATGGGGAGACAAAGGCGTCCTGCACAGTCCCAGCCACAAAGACACACACAGCCAGCGCCGGCTGCTCGGTTCTTCTCCATCTGTTCAGTTGAGGAACAGCTGGGAATTTAAGGGGAAACATTTCAAAGGACCAACCCCAGCTGCGATATAGCACCCACGGGAAAGAAGGGCTTGTCCTCTAACCTTGGCTCGTGGTTTTCAATGTGCTATGTGTCATGGGTACACACAGGTTGTATGTACACACACACACACACAAGATTCCCATACAACCAGGCTGTGCTTGTCCAGCCAAGGATTCATGCCCTGCTCACCTCCCCACCTGCCTCCCTCCACCTTCTACTCAAAGACCACGCCCCCTCCTCAGTCAGGAGTCCTGCCCAGTGTGGCATCCATCCCAGGCGACAAGCAGAGGAAGACGCTGGGAACATGTTTTCCACGACTGGATAGCGCATGTGTGAGTAACAGAAACCTCATGGCCGCTCTAAGCTGAAGAACACGGGCTCCCTAGTCCCCCATCTCAAGGCGACCCTCAAGGTAACACAGGGCATCCCAGCTAGAAAACAAAGCCCAGCTCCAAGGTCTTAATGTAGAACACAGAACCCGCAAGCTGCACTTCTTTGAGATGTTCATCACGTTTCTTATCAGACACGTTTCTGTATCTAAGCTAGCCCGATGCAGAAAACGATTTGGCATGATGTAGCATCTCAGTTTTGTGAAAATATTGACAACTCATTCTGCCTGAAATCTGGCGTGTGAGGGCGGCCGTGGGAGGCGGGGGAAGCTTTGGCAAAAGCGTATGGTTGGGTGTGCTTTCTGTTACTTTGCTCAAGAATGATTAATGTATAGCCCTACAAGTAGGCATAAAAAGGCTCCCAGCAAAATGATCCGGGGTCCTAGGCTTTCTTCAAAAAAAAAAAATGTCTTTTTTTGCAAAATCTATCATGAACCAGTGAGCTCCTTTCAGTAGAACATGACAAGTCCTAAAATGATAAACTGAACATTTAACGCACCCTTCTCCATTTAACGCACACATTATCTGCGACCGGGACTTTGGATATTCTTTCCTGTAAATGCTGTTTATGTTTATTTTAGTGATGGGAAGAGAAATCATACTGCACGTTCACTTGATTGCTAGAGTTATGGCAAGAACTACAATCCAGCTTCTAATAAGCAAGGCTGAGTGCTGGGAGGAAGGGAGGGTGAAGACGGGCACTATCTTTCACTGAGAACTGAGCCAGCTAAAGACATATTTAATTACATTAAATCTGTTTAATTTTTTTATTATCATTTTATGACACAGTTCCATAGGCCTTGGGATTTCCCTTATTTGGTCCCCAATCTCCTCCCCTCTCACTGAGTGCCCCTATATCATTACTATAGTATAGTGCTTCATACAAAGTCATATGTCCATCATTGCCAGCATGGACAATGGCAGAGTCCATCATCCTATTGTCAAGATATAGTAAACAGTTTCACTGGGAGTCCATCTTTGTCTGAAAGTAGAGATGTATACTGTATTGTATCCTCAAATCTGGATATGACAGTCTCCATTACACAGATACTATACATCCCCTTAAATGAAAAGCCACAAGATAATATCAACAACAGGAAAAAAAAAAAAGAAATTAACACCATGAAGTTAAATAACATGCTACTGAATGACTAATGTGTCGCTGAAGAAATGAGAAAGAAAATCAAGAATCTTCTTGAAGAAAATGATAGTATTGTATGATCTTAGTCACTGAAGAATTTAATGAGAAGAAAGTGTTTTGAAGAGGTGAACCTAACAAAAAAAAATCAAAATCCGTGAGATATAGCTTTTGCTGATCTTTGTTGGTGAAATGTGTCTCCTGTAGGCAACAAATAGATGTTGGGCCCTGTTTGTTTAATTTTTAAAAGATTTACTTGAAAGACAGAGTTACATGGAGAAGTCTTCCATCCTCTGGTTCAATCTCCAAAATGGCTGAGAGGGAGCCGACGGAAGCCAGGAGCTTCTTCCTGGTCTCCCACATGTATACAGGGGCCCAAGCCCTAGGGCCAGCCTCCATTGCTTTCCCAGGAGCATTAGCAAGGAGTTGAATTGGAAGTGAAACAGCTGCGATTTGAACTGGTGTTCAAATGGAATGCCAGTGTTGTAGGCAGTAACATTACCCAGTGTACCACAGTGCCAACGTCAAGAACGTATTTTTAAACAATCAAAGCAAAAGCAAAAGGGTCACAGTGGCTTCATTCTGAAGGGAGCCCTGCTCTTCAGGGGCACGAGGAATGTGATCCAGGATAAGTCTAACAACCCTACTCAGACACAGGCTCCTGGTGGAATTCTTAGGTGAATTACCATACAATTTAAACAACACTCCCAGTCTTCCCTATAGTGGGTATTTAGCTGTAGGTGTTTTTGAAAACTGACATTTAAATGCTTTTATTTTATACATAAATGCATGTGTGAAGAAATGTGGTGGAGGTGGTGGTGGGAGGACTTTTTTTTAACTGCAACATTTTTTGTTCCATAAATAGTAATACGAAAGGGAAGAGAGAGTGAAGCTGAATGACGTGAAAACAAAAGCAACTAATAACTGTGGCACTCAGAACAAATTGTAAGGCTGTGATAAACTCCGCCCTCTGGACATGCGTGGGCTACTCACTACCACTGTTCAGGCTTTGGACATTCCAACATGACAGAGTTTTATTTTTTGAGTTGAAATGATGCTGATTGAGGCTTACAACTTGATGACGGGAAATCCAAAACCTAACGCTGTTATACAATTGGTCCATATGCTGAAATGCACCTCTGATTGTCCTGGCTTGTGGCTGCAGTTTCCTCAGGGAACTCCTGACCATCAGGTCAGCTTTCCAGTTCCTTCTTCATGGGGCAACCAGATGACTATTTCTAGTGTAGCCTATTTCAAAAATTATCAAGAGTGCCCAGACCTATTTCCTTTGGTCCAAATCTCATTTTTCCAAATGATTACTTTCTATTCCAATAAGACCTTTTATTCCCCCTACTGCTTGACAGTACTCACCCCAACCTTTGTCTAAACTACGTTTGTGTGCATTTTTCTATAATACATCTACCCAATCTTCAAGGTCCAAATTCTATCATGAGTCTGACTACGACATGCCTATCATCCCCCATGATCTTCTCCTGCAATTCTACCCTCACATCAAATATTATTTTAAAAGTGCATCTTTAGAATCTTGACTGAATTTGAACTGTAATACTGCAACAAGGTGGAGGAATCCACCATGGAGGGAGGGCACGAGGAGGGGTTGGGGGAATCCCAGAGCCTATGAAACAGTGTCACGTAATGCAACATAATGAATAATAATAAAAAAGTGCATCTTTAAGACATCCATCATATTCTGCTGAGTCTACTCTGGTTATACAGTTCTGACTGGGCTCATGGACTAATGCTATTTTCTTGAGTTGGAGGGAGAAGCTAGGACTATGTTTTAGCCACTTAGTACATGCAGTGGGCACATGGCCAATAATTGTTGAATAGTTATTATTTTTAATTTGGATATTTCTGGGGGGGGGTGGCACTGTGGCACAGTGGGTTAAGCCACTGCCTGGGA